GTCCGTGTACCTGTTCATGAAGAGGTACACCGCCGAGGACATGTACAGGCCTCACCCCGGCTTCTACCGTCCCCGTCTGAGCAACTGCTCCGATTACTCAGGCCAGTTCCTGCACCCGGACGCCTGGGTCCGGGGCCGCAGCCCGTCTGACATCTCCAGTGACGCCTCCCTGCAGATGAACAGCAACTACCCAGCCTTGCTCAAGTGCCCCGACTATGACCAGATGTCATCCTCCCCCTGCTGAGCCTCACCGCCTTCCTCCCTGGACTGTGGACAACCAGACGGCCCTTCCCATGCTCCCCTGATGGTCTGTGAGCCCCAGGCCCTTGGTTGACAGGCCCAGGCTGTCCCCACCACGCTTCGCTCTTGTCCCTTGTCCCTTGACCCGTGTCGTCTCCAAGCTTCCCCAAGAGCGGCCCTGGCTGCCCCCAGCGTGAGGTCAGGAGTCTGGAGCCAGCGGACAAGCTGATCGGCTGAGGGTGTGGGCGTGGCCCCGCCTCTCGGGTGCCAGTCACTCCTGCGGCTCTCCCCTTCCTTGGGAGACGTGGCTGTTCCAGCCGTGTTATCTGTCCCCACACACCTTCCTCCGTGGCCCCAGGCCGAGACGAGCTCTGAGATGCCGAGTTCCTTACACAGACCCAGCCGGACCTGTGTGCCTGCCAACTAGCCTGGCCCCCGTGTTCGTGTTCTGGACCATCAGGGCAAAAGGTGAATCTCATACGGAGGTCTGGCTGGTTCAGAATTGCCAAGCAGTGTTCCTCGTGAAATCCCTTACCCGTTTACGTTACCCACGTCGGTCCGCGCGACACGCCGTCCTGTCCTCCCCGCCCCCCCTCCACCCCATAGGCTGTGAATCTTCTGTCCTCTCTTCCCACCAGGACTCGGCTGCCCCAGCCTTGGTCCCTACCGGGCTAAGTGGGGGGGTGGGGGGGGGGATTCTGAGGCTACTCTGAGAAAGTCACAAAGAGGTGTTAATGGCTGATGATGTCTTAATATGTATGGCCCCTATACCGTTTTTAACAGGGGTCTTTAATGCCTTAACCCAAGAAGTGACTCTGACAAGGAGAATTTCACACTTTGGCTGGTCCGAGTTAGTACCATCAGGCACTGTTTCAGGCCCTGGGGATACTGCCCCTGCTCAAATGGGCAGTATTTCCTGTCCAAGGCCCTAAAATACAATCCTACAGACACACGTCTATACCACCTAAGTAGAAGGCAGCTTTCAAAGAGGCTGCCTGGGATTTGGAGCTGGATCTGCCAACACCTGGTGCATTTTGAGTCTAAGCAAGCCAGACTTGGAAGGATCCAGCCCCTCTCTGTGAACATTTGGGGGTTGCCCTTTAATCCTAACACAGGGCAGCATCTGCTTCCTGGACTTGGGGCCTATGTCGGCCACTAGATGGTTCCAGATGAGGCATGGTGATGCCCGTTTCCCTAGTAGCAAAGCTGGGCTGGGAGGTACCAGGCCCTCTCCATGAAATGCAGCGGGGTGGGTGGGGAAATCGATAGAAGGGCCGCCGCAGGATGTGACCCCAGTCCTCCAGGCATCTTCTCAGTGTGTGTAGTTCTGGTTTTGAGATTGTGAGCAGCGAAACAAAGCCAGGCTCTCTGCCATGTGTTTTCTTTGCATTGCCAGCTTTTCGGTCTTTCTCTTGCTCTCTTTAAGATAGCATTGGCTTCCAGGTTCGCAGGGCCACCGCGGGCAGCACGTGGGCCCTGGAAAGCTGTACCAAAAACCACACACCTGTGGGTACGGACTTGGAAAGGACAGTCTGTTCGTTTTCTAGAACTGTCGTAACAAAACACCGCAGACCCGATGGCTCAAAACACAGACCGTTATTTTCTCACAGTCCTGGAGACCAGAAGTCAGAGATCAAGGCGTCAGCAGATTCGCTTTCTCTCCCTGGCTTGCAGATGGCCATCTTCTCGATGTGTCCTCACAGGGTCTTTCTTCTGCTTGTGTGCCCACCCCTGGCGTCCAAATTCCCTCGTATAAGGATGCCAGTCAGATTGAATTAGAGCCCGTCCTGAGAGAGCCCGGTTTTACCTTCATCACCGTGTAAAGGCCCTGTCTCCAAATACGGTCACATTCTGAGGTTCTGGAGGTGAGGGCCTCAACACACTACTTTGGGGGCCACACAATTGAACAGGTACCGGCAAGTTGCTTCGTAGCTGGATTATAACACGTGCTTCACAGCACAGTAGAGAAGATCAGAGAAGGCGACTCTGGTCCCAGCTCAGCCACTCACTCAGCACGGATCCTTGGGCAAGCCCGTCTGCTCTGAGGGGCTTGGCCTAAATTATTTTCAAGCCCCCCGCTTCGCACATACCCGCCCCCAACTCCATTGATTCAGCCTCGTGTAGAAAGCTCCAGAATGCCATCATACGTGACTTTTCAATCCTTGCCTTGAAACTGATAGCAACTATAGACCCAACCCAACTTTCCAGTCCATTGGCACCTTGCAAATGACCATCACACTCTGGTTACTGTTTACAGAATAAAACGGAAACCACATTCTTCTCCGCAGCAGAGGCATCGGTTAGTGTACGTGCAGACCAGTAGGTAGCATTTCCGAACTGGACCGCTTGTTTAGATGTGCTCTTCTCCAGTTTTTGTCCATGTGATTACCCTCCTAAGATGCACTTTCCTGTCCCTCATTTCCCTTTCTCTGTCACTGTACTGAGCTTGTTTTTGTGCACCTGGAAAAAATAGAATCCACGCCTAAACACGAGCTGATTGTTGACTGACGTCATTAGGATGGGCCTTTATTGGCCTGGCTGCTGGACTTGCTAAGCCAAGAAGCTCTTACCTTGGGAACATACAGCTTCTGCTTCTCTTACGAACAGGTTCTGGGTCATCGTCCTCCTTCATGCGGGAGGGGGGAAGGTTATCGATCATTGTGGAACCATTATGGCTTCCTTTCCGTCCACACACGAATCTCAGAACTGGGGGTCTGTTTGCAGCCTCCCCACAATCAAATATTAAACTGTGTAATCTCAACTCAGAAATCATAATCCGGCTCCTTTCCCAGTGCCCCTGCTGATCTCTTGTTTCCTCAAGAACTCAAAAAAACACATTGATGAGATTTTTTTTTTTCCTCCCCCTCCAACACTTGAAGAGGGAGGGTAATGAACTGAAGTCTGATAAATTGGGGAGTAAAAGCACTCAGGGTCACCAGTGGTTGGGCAGGAATAATTCCACTGCGGGCTCCCTCCCACATGGAACTCCCCAGCCTCCTCCTTGCCCCGGGGGGGTGGGGGGGTGGGGGGGGGGAATCCACGACACCCTCTGTCCCACCAGATGGCCTTCAGAGGAATGGGGTGTTATTAGGACTGTGGACTGAGTTGATGGGGAGGCATTTGGGGACAAATCCCTAAGTGCCACCAGCTTCTCAGTGATGTGTCGGGGGGGGCCCTTCCTTAACGTTTGGGTAACTCCTTTCTCCCCACATAAAAGTGGTGTATTGGGGTTCTCCAGAGAAACGGAACTGATAGGATGCACCTAGAGATTTATTTTAAGGAATTGGTTCCCATGGTGGTGGAGGCTTGGCAAGTCCAAAATCACCAAAATCAGATGGGGGAGGCCAGCGGGCTGCAGACTCAGGGAAGAGTTGCAGTGTGAGTCTGAAGGCCATCTGCTGGTAGATTTTCTTCTTGCTTGGGGTAGGTCAGTCTTTATTCTATTCAGGCCTTCACCTGATTGGACGAGGCCCAGCACATTCTAAGAAAGAATCCGTGTTACTCAAAGTCCACTGCCATAAATGGCAATCTCATCTGAAACACACCTTCACAGGGGCGCCTGGGTGGCGCAGTCGGTTAAGCGTCCGACTTCAGCCAGGTCACGATCTCGCGGTCCGTGAGTTCGAGCCCCGCGTCGGGCTCTGGGCTGATAGCTCAGAGCCTGGAGCCTGTTTCTGATTCTGTGTCTCCCTCTCTCTCTGCCCCTCCCCCGCTCATGCTCTGTCTCTCTCTGTCCCAAAAATAAAAATAAAAACGTTGAAAAAAAAAAATTTGAAACACACCTTCACAGAAACTGCCAGAATAATCTGGGCGCCGTGGCCCAGCCAAGTTGACACATTAAATGAACCACCACAGATGGATAAAGGGCAGATGAGATCCGGGGAAATGGTATTCCATCTTAAGCATTGCAGGGTAGGGGGGGCGCCTGCGTGGCTCAGTCAGTTGAGCATCCGACTCTTGATCCCAGCTCAGGTCATGATCTCACGGTTCGTGGGATTGTGCTCCTCGTTGAGCTGTACTCTGACGGTGAGCGCCTGCTTGGGCTTCTCTCCCTCTCTGCCCCTTCCCCACCCTCTCTCTCTCAAAGCAAATGTATACACTTTAAAAAGAAGAATTGCAGGGTAGGTGTGAGATACAGGAGTAGGGGGAGTCGGCGCATCTCTGCTCACCCATGCACGCACGTGTACGGCCACGCCCAGGGCTCTGTTCTTTCGCAGGCTGTCCCTCCAGCCGAAGCCATCTCCCTGACGAGTGCGTGGAGCGCGTTTGCAGCTCCCCCAGTGTTGGCTGGTATCCTACACTCGGTGAATACACGCTCCCATGCTAACACAACCCTTGAGAAGTTTCCCAGCCTCTGGAACACGAACACTCCGTGAGTGGGAACAGGTGAATGAGTGGATTCCACCGAACGTGCCAGATGGGCCAGGGCCCGGCCTGCACTGCAAGTGTGAAGTCAGCCATGGCACCGAGTCTCAGAGGCCGCCACGGTGCAGACCTGACTCTCCCCAAGGGGGTGGAAGGTGGTGAGCCGTAGCTGGGCCAAAGCCCCCCCCTCCCCAGGACCCAGGATGGGCGCTGGGGCCTCAGGCCCTTCCTTCTGGAAGAATTCTGTTTGCTGGCTTCCCACCTACAACTGCACTGGGATCCTAGTGACTTTGGACAGGTCACACCCTCCCGGGGCCTGCCTCGGCTTCCTCATGTGTACTAAAGGCCGATCTCCCCGTCTGCTTCTGAGCCAGACTTTTCTGCCCGGGTCGCTCGCCCTTGGGTGTTTGCATCCAGCGAGGCTTCTGCTCTGCTGGTTCCAGGGTGGCAATGGACCTGAGTTCCCTGCAGGGCACTGCTCCCGCTCTGCGTATTGTCAGCAGCCTAGGGACCTCCTTTTTTCATTCCTACAACGAGGGAGTTGGATAAAGTCATCTGCAGGTTCTGTCTCCAGCTCAAAAGACTAAGTTCTGTAGGCAAAATCCAACCAAGCTCAAATGATAGACCCCCAGCCTCTGCCTCCTGCCAGGGGCACCC